AAAACCAGTAAGAAACTACCAGCCTCCTGATCAGACTCTTAGTAGTTACCCGTCACACGTAAATAGATTTTGCCCTATTTGACTCAGCGAAATATGACGAAAGAAAGTAAAACAGAAGGTGGACACTTTCTGAGATCGATATGTTTCTGTAATTAACCTTTTGTAGTGTACCCCCATAGAATAAAACCTCAACGTACGTGACACTATCTGATTTCTATTACGGAAGGTAAATCACTGGAAAGGTAACGAGTTGGAGACAGAATCTTGCTGGAACAGATGATAGAATATCGTGTTTAGCCTTGAATGCGAATGCCTTCAGTGTATATTTGAGTAAGTATAAGACTGTTGGCACGGGAGAGCTGTGTCGCGGTATTAGCCCGAGTAGTTCTTGGGGTACCTTTTTTCCTAAGATCTGTCAAGCATTGTCCAACGGAAACATTTTACTACTACAACGTGGTCCTGTTCAATAAAAGCCAGTTACGTCGGACCACAGACATTTGGGAGTGGCGCTCAGCATATCACAGCTGCTCAACCATCTCAGTCGGGTCTGTTTGAACGAGATTGTCTTGGGATGTTTTTGCTGAATAACAAATTATTACGGACCATCAAGTAATTCTCCTGCGATGCTTGTCCGCCGATGTTTTGTGAAAGAGACGGCCATCTGGGTTTAATTCTATTAACTGAGGCACTCGATTTCGGACCAAAGCAACTGACCGTTACCGTTGTTGTTGTTGACCGTTGGAGAGATAATATTATCTATTTTTTGGACCCTATTTATCTTTTTTTTAAAGCACCGTTTTATTTCTGTCTAAAATACAACACATGTCTTCATCCATAATGGACATATGAATCGTAGGTCCAAATCTCATTGATGTACCACAACCGATGGAGAAAGAAACGTACCATACAGTACTGGGCCTGAAACGTTTCGACGGTGGCCTGCAGTAGGCCCGGTTATACTCTGACCTACCCCTTGGATAACCCCCGAAAATACCTCGCGGATCAAATCCAGGGCGACTCAATATACAGGGGGTAGAGCCGGAGAGTTAGTCGCTCGTTAAAAATATTTGTCTGCTGCCTTTAGAACCTAAAGGAATTATGTTAAACTGCTGTTAGAATATATAAGACTGTTTTACAAGTCAGATTTTGTCCTTAATAATGGCTTTCGTTTAATGTGTCGTTGTTCTCATTGCTGTTGTTGATCTCTTCTATTCAGTAACACCGCCGCTATACATTTTTAAACGCAGTTTAGCAAACAAATTTGCGTTCTTACTTAACAACAAAGTTACGAGATGCCATAGTTGCCTGCTAGAGCGCCTAGACTAAAAGGCGTCAATCACGCTCGTCCGTCGCGTACCCGCCCATGTATTACGTCAGTTACCTTAGAACAAAACTTACATGACCCAACAAATATTTTCGGGGAAAATACAGCTGTACACTCCTATGTGCTATTACAAAAGGCATGGGATCCCATTTTCAACCATTTCGAGGATCATTGAGCTTGTGGCCAAACCTTTTTTTTCACTAGACGCAGCTATCCAAACCGTAGACAGAAAGATAGGTAAAATTGAATCGACCCAATTTCACATTCTATACATCTACGTGCATTTAGTAGTGTTGCTTCGACTGGTGCTCCATTATTCACCCGTATTGTCATCAGATCTTCGTCCTTCCACCGATTTTGTTTTGCCTTTACATAAGTTGGGAACTAAGCAGTCTTTATGTAGCGGTGGCAGTCGGGAAACCCAAGCAGACACCAGATGAAGGTAACAGGAATGAGCTAGGACAAAGGCCTGGCACGGACGGCACCAGGTCTTCTCCTTCGCCCACTTTTTCGCTTCTCGACTGCGTACGTATATCGAAGGTCACTTCATCATGGGCGCAGCGCCGGCCCCAGTTATAATGAGCGTTCAAGCGTTGACGACACACAGTTTTGTTCAAAAGTTACGCAACGATGACACGTTACGTTTATCGTCGAGACAACCGCTTCAACAACAGTAGCAGCAGTAAGTCGTAACACCCTTCATTTCTATGATACGACAAAAGCACACTTAAAAATAAACATATCCATGTTGCACCGCGTGAGAGATGCATGGAGCGCAGAAAATGTGCGGATCAGCAGCTTGGGAGCGGGAAATGCGATCGGCACGACGAATAAGTGGGCGTGCTACGAGTCTTAGGCTTTGGTTAAAGACATCGAGGATTTTTATCGCATTAGATGTATTAAAATTGGACGAGAGTATGCTTAGGATAGGCATAAGGATAGGCGACACGGTTTTGAAAAGAAGAGAACTGTAACAAAGGAGGGGAAAATCCTTGAGCGGCTGTTACGATTGAAGCTGGTAGCTATGCATAGGCAACCATTATTGCGGGCAGAATTGCGGTTTCGCCCGCTGTCCAAGTGTCGATTGGAACGCCCACATTGTACGCTACGCGCTGTAAACACTCATCGCGTCTTACTAGTATATCGGCTGACGCATATCTGAAGTTCTCAGGTGCTTCGGATCCTGATCTCGGAAGGTCAGTTCGGAGAAGTGGTAATGCTGGTTCAGGTGCAAACTTGTTTTGGTAGAACACGTGCTCTGCTTTTGAGAGTTTTGATCGCAATCTTCAGAGAAATCTTTGGAGGACTGCTGAGTCAACCAGCTCAAAAGGGTAAAAAGCAGACCACTAGTGAACAGATTAAGCGGATATACGCCATTTTGTCAAAATGCAATTAGATACAATTGGCGTGCTCGAACGAGATGAGAACTTTTACATAGCCACTTCTACAAGTAGATGAGTTAATACCAGGGACCATATGTTACAAGTAATAACGACTGGAAAAATTTAAATTAAATGATATACCAGTAATAGCTGAAAGTCCAAAGCATCTTGCTTCAATGGATAACCTCCTGGTTTCTATCATTCATTATGTACTTCATTCGTGTGATTACTAGTACTTGTCGAAGTAACTTTGCATCACATAACAACAGTATGACTCTGTGAATAACGTTAGTTGTACTAGTAGGATACTCCCGTAGTAGAGTCAAAGTTTGACGCTCGTATAACGACAAGTCAAGGTAAACTGCAAGAAAATAGTGATCTATCAGAGGTTTTAATAAATGCACTTTGCCATTGATACTTGAGAAGGGAGAGGCTCAGTGAAGGCAATCGCTTCGTGCACAGAGATTGCTTATGCTTCAAGCCCCTTAACCTCTTCTGAAGTCATTTGTTCACATTTTGTCAAGCACTTGAGGGTAGAAAAGCCTTGCTTAGCGGTCTTATTTCGTTCGCGTGGGCTTAAACGTTCTACCGTAACCGAAACGTATAAACACAGCGTACCAGTTTGTCTAATGCAGTTTCCTATTCGATCAGCGTTTGAGGAATTATTTTTGCGATAATCATCTCCGGTGGTATTTTTTACTAGATTTTTATCAGATTCGTCAGCGATCCTGTACTGGCTTTCGCAACCATTTACACATGTGTGTTTACATATAAAAAAAAAAAAAAAAACAGGTTTCAACAACACTATTCTATTTACGGAGACTACAGTGCAATTTGTATCTCCCTGTCTTCTTCATTGACGGAAAACATTCCAACGCACGGATACGCACCCATATCGGGTGTTCGAAAAGGTAAATGAATGCAGTATCTTTACTTTATTATGTCAGTGTAAACCTACCTGTAATGTGCTCAAAGACAATTATATTTTATTCCATTGGTCTCAGCTTGTGGGTCGACATAAGAAATGGTCTTTATCACCATCGGGTTTACTATGGCGCCACTGTTGCCATCGCCATAATGTGGTCGTCGTACCCGGCACGTGTACTCGATATGTGTGTGTTTATGCGAAAGCAAAAGGAAAAGTAGTTTAGAGGAAACTGTCTATTAAAGCAAGCAACGAACACGATTACCGATAGTTTTGTAGGCAACCTCTTGCAATACATGTTTATACACCATCCGTCAAACATCAATGAGCACGAATATCAGACCCGAAACGAAAGCTACATTTACCTGGCGGCAAAGAACAACAACCCAAATAACATTGATCTGGGCATTCTTTTGTCAATTTAGTAAGTACGCGTTGCTAAAACAATGCATTAGCCCATGAGATTGTCAAGGGACATTTGTGATGCGTGCGGTTTTGCCCACATAAGCTGTTCCGTATAGAAGTCCCTTCATCGAACGTTCGTATGTTGGGATGCGCCTGCTTCTTCGTTACTAGCAAAGATCGATCACTTACTTCACATGAGTCGTGTCATAGTCGGCCACTGGCAAATGTTACACGTGTGATTCATAAAACAATGTTATAGATTACATAACATGACAAAAGTAACTACGATACTGGCATAGTAAGCGTCTATGACTAAGTGTTGTTATTAGTATTATCTACCTGAGATGTTTAGCTAATTAAACAAAAAAAAAAAAACACTGGCTCGAGTTGATGTCATTGATAAGCGAACCATGCACGCTAATCAATGTAGACGGACGCGAAAATGTTAAACGCTCCATGGCCATTTTTTTGTTAGGACATTTGAAATACGCTTTCGTTATCATGATAGTTACGTATAAAATAATTATATATAGTGAAATGCACTTGTATCTATCTTCAGTTATACTGATAAAAGAGAAGTGGGGTTACTGTAGAATACGGGTATATACTGCTGCTACCCCTTGTTGAAAGCTATAAGCACGATAAAGCGAAGCCTTGTGCGTAGCATGCTTAATTAAAACTTGCAGTTCTAAAAAGGGCATTGTAATGGAAACAGTGCTGTAAGATAAGTTACTAGATTGGCGTAGTTCGTAATCTGTTGTTACCTAGGCTGATCTCTTAACTAGCTACAATGGTTGACTGATTAGTTATCGAGGGGGTGAAAACGCTTAAGACTTGTTAGTGGCCGAGTACTCCAACCAAAACCTATAACACTGGCAGACTGTATCCTATATACATGGATATTTGGCGACCACATTTTCGGTGACGGACTAATTCTACGTTTTACCGTTTCAATAATACGTACCCTTGCCGCCATTGATGACTGCGGCTTTTCAAGAAGGTCCCACAGAAACTTTTGGAACTGCGCCCTGCGACCCTCGCCGAAATATTCCTCGTCCCTCTGCCGGAGACTTTCCGCCTCTTTGCGCATTTCCTCGTGCACATGCTCCTAAAAACAGCAGAAGAGGACGGGTCAATTTCCCGTTAGCATCATAAACGTGAAGCTTGTTCTACGATTGGGCTTCTATTTCTTAAGCTCTTAAGGAAAAGAGGAACATTTAAGGTGAGGTAGTGCAGGTCTGAAGGCGGGCGTGGGTGCAATCCATTTTGTGTGAAACGAATGCCCACTCATTTGAAGTAGTGCATAACCAAGGCAGTACTAGAGGTAAGATTGGCTGGTTAACTGCGTACAACTTGCTATAAAACTGAAGGCGTTTTGAGTTGACGCTGAGCGCGGATACTGACGAGGTTTCCACCGAATGTTCAAATAAAATAATATTGTACTAGTGTAATTTCTTTGCTGTAATGAAATGTTGCCGATTTCGTCAGAATCAGTAGTTTTTTTAGCTTTACAAACACTTGCCTCTCCACACAGTTGTGTAGCACGCGTACGATATGTCTCATTGGCATTTGTTTAGATCTGAGCCAGATCTATAACATACCTATACATAAATTAGATTGGGTTTATCATTTACTCACAGCACGCGTCTCGACGCGGCCGGCGTAACGAGCGTAGTAACCATTTCAACGCCTTTGCCAGTATTCCACATTTGTTCCTAAATGTACACATTCATCATCATTATTATTTCCTGTCTATAAAAATCCCGATGTTGTGGCCTTAAGCGGGGCTGACGCTAGAAGTAATGTTGAGGCTACCTGTTGCCTTTGAAGATGCCATATCAGAAAGGTAATGGCGACATCCATTGAGTGCGCACTGCAAACAATGTTCCATTCATGAGAGGTCCTATTATATGTGAACAATTGGTGGTCGCGTCACGCACGAACACAGTGAATCGTATGCTTCACGACATTTAGCTCAATCGATGGCTAAGCTTACTGATTATCAACCTAATCAGATCTCCCCACAAAATGGTTTTTTTTAATAGACCTCATTAATAGTAACAAACATTTGGAAAAAAACAGGTAGCTGTCGCTTTTTTTTTTGCTACGTGCCTCGGTGTAAAAATTCGTATGAAAATAATGTCGATGAAATAGTTTGATTTCAAGGCACAGGTTCATGACAAAAAAGGCTATTTTTCAAATGGTCTGTGTTACATTTTGTTTAGCGTCTATTAAAGTATGCGGACAGCTGCATTCAAATTGCTTCGGCGGGCTGTCTTCCGTAACGGGCATCTGCTGTTCCAGCTCTCAGACGAAAGCCAGTTCTTACTAGAATAAAGCAACAGATTTGTTATGATCATTTTCGGGATTCGAGCGAAAATCAGCCGTTATCCAACACGTTCGTGCGAAACTAATTTGTCTCCAAGACTAAAAATGTTCTCTTGATAGGACTCGATGATCTTAGTTTCAATTGAGAGTTATTATATGATTTGAGGAGGTGTCGGGAAATTCTCAGCAAGGTTTACATTGAAAGGGCTTAAAATTTCATCAAAATTATTTCCCATTTTTGCGTACGCCTACAGTTTACAGACACTGACCGCTTATTTTAAGGAAAACCGGACTGTCTACATCGACTCTAATCGTTCGAGCGCTATGGCATTTTATTTGTTGTTAAGTTCTAACATTTTCGCGTTTTTGCATTATTAGACTTCCGGTCTGTTCTATTATTAAATTCCGTTGGAACTTTTTATATGTACCGTAATTGACCGTTACATTAACGAGTTCACACTTTCCAACATCGGTTACTGTTAAATTCACTACTTATTATCATAAAATATGAGTACTGGTTTAAAGCCGAGACCATGCTACGTTACACGTTTACCACGTACAAAAATATTTTCGTTGAAACATCTGCTTGTGTTTAAATTAAAAAACAAACGTGTGTATGACTTGAAAAACGATAAACCCTTTTTGACCACGAAAAAAAGTGATACTCGTTTGTTCCAAGACAATCCCTGCTTGCAATAAATAACCTTTAACGATCTCAATAAACGGTCTGCAAGTCGGGTCACTTCCCGTTAATTTATGGCGAGCATATTTTCTTTATGTCAGCCTCTATCTAGATGCAACGACTTAGCCTGCCCCGTATGGTGGAAACGGAAATGCAGACAACTGTTAAAGGGGTCGCGCGGTTGGTGGTGGTGCTGCTGCTGCTGCTGCTGCTGCTGCTGCTGCTTGGCGTAGCACATCTGCAAATTGGAAACTGTTTCTCTCGGTGAGTCGAAGGAAAATCGGCGAAGGGGGGCCATCGACCAAGAGTACTTACAGGTTTCTCGCGTCCTTTTCTTTGAACCTGAACCAGTAAGGCCTCAGTGGAGAACTAAACGACAGACGTTTAGGCGAAGGATGGGTTCTCCGACGTTTAATTGGAAGTAATTCAGATTGTTGATGGTGCGCTAAGGCCGGTACAATTGGTCGCCTTGTTCGCCTCGGCAGCTTTTCGAAAATGAAATACGAGTTAAATGTTAAAGAGCCCTTGATAACCGATTGTAGGAGCGAATGTGTACTAATAATTTTTTTTTTTAATGCAATGTAAATGTTTCAAATCTTCTGTCCTGCTCCGCTGTCAGGAATTGCTTCCGAGAATTGGCTTCTGGCATAAAACGAATAATACCTGGTCTTGGATCCAGATTGTTTCGCCTGGTGCCCCTGAGTTTGGTAAGCAACCGTGTTATTACTGCACTACTATCACATGGATTACTTGGAAATGAAAGTATCAAGCCTTTGCGCGTATAACTTGCCGTTGCATATTGTCTGAGATGATTAGACACCGGGCGGGCGGGCGGGGGGGGGGGGGATTTACCCTTAAATCTCCTTGCGAATGATCGACTGCAATGCAACGAAGCTGGCTGACCTCGCGGCTTGACCCGTGACCATCACAGGCTCAGGTCATTTGATTTCAATAGAAATATGCACTGTTATTATTATTTATAACCTTCTGCCATTTGAATGACAAACCGCTGCTGTAGAAAAGAATCTGCGATTCTGAGCTCTTTGAAGTCTTGAAGGCTAATTTCGACATCATGTTAAGATGTGAATAATTTTTTATGATTTTAAGGTTGTCGAAATTTTGGAGAATATGACAATCTGCCGCGTATGACGGATGACAGTGACTTCTCAACTGTAATTTTTGTATTTTTGCCAGTATATAACCCACGTAATTAGAGTGGTTTACCTCTGTTCACTAATTTTAGCTGTTTAACGTGGAGATCATTTGTCACCTTGTTCAGCCGTAATAGACAAATCAGGGCTCATGAATCTGTGGTATGTGACACCAAATAGATCTTATACATATCAGTGTATTTTAAGCCTACGTTACGCCGGTTGAAACGCATAAACTTGCTAATGTAATCATCAGCGATTATCGTAGAGGCTACACTGCTCACCACAAGTCACAATCAGATGTAAAAACGGGTCATTTTTGTAACGTGAAAAAACCAACCTTCTATAAGTCTCTGTTGATTCTCGCCAAAATCATGTGGCACCCATTTGTCTACCTTATTATTATTATTTTGATCGAGGCCAATAGGTATGGTGTTTTTACGTACACTAAACCAAGTATTAAACACGCCCATTTTGAAAATAGGTCGGCTTGTCCTACTACTCGTTCTCCACTTCTGCAAGATGCCCCCTCACTAAGCTCACTTAAAATTTCCGTTTCGAAATGTTATTATACCAACAGCTCACGGTATCTCTAATAGAACCCCCATCAGGTTTGCATGCCAAGCTCTCTCTCCGCTGCTGTAATTTCAATATAATTCACATCCGTATTTCGTGATTCTCTATGGCTCCCTAAAGTTCGTCAGCTAGAGGTTCGAGAGTCAACAACCTCACCAAGAGGTACTTCGAATACAGAAAAGTGTTACAAGACATCGTACTGTATTAAAACAGCATCATTTTTAAATTTACGGGCTAAATGATTTATGATGTTTTTGATGATGAACTTTTGCCCTATTTTGTATAAAATGTACTTGCCTTCCTTTGGTGGTACTTATGCTGACAACAGCTTTCTAAGTACAGCTCATCGATGCCCCAGTACTCGAGGTCGTCCGCAAACGCGATCACGCACATTTCCTCGACCAGATGGAGTTTGCCCGTTCTGTAAATAATAATACCGACTAACCAACTAATAATGCATCGGATCACTACCCCAGCAAGGAACTAGTCTATATCCCACACTATATGTACGCGACCTTTCTACGCCTAAGATTTGTGGCTTTGATAATCAATTTACAGTGTAGACATTTTTAGGTTGCCGTATCAGACTGAGATTAGATGTATCAAGTATCGGATTTGAGCTCCGATGACCAATGGTCGTTTTGGAATGAGTAGTGCATTTCATAAACGGCGATACACCGCCCTGCCCTCGCATCGACAAAATTGAAAGATACCGTCGAAAGTAGGAATTCAAAAAAAAAAAGAGTCATTCTAAGACATGCGCAGAACATGGGTTCTTGTATTCAAGGATCCAGCGATTGTAATTCTCAAGTGGGTAACATTATAACACATGAATGAAGATGTAACACATGGCCCATTTCTCACAGATATCCAGTAACTATTTTCGAAAAAGACACTGTTTAATGTGTACACAAGTTTAAATAGAGGACCTGTATACATCCCTTCACACTGATAAGTTTTATAGCACATTAGCATACAGCCCGAGACCGATTTACAATCTCACGTATATTCAAACGTACACCAATCCCCATATAAAGAGATAAATATATATAATGAGATAGGTATATACCGATGGGGTACACTTACCGGAAGAAGTTGAGCACGGCTCCGAATGAACGTGGATGTCGGTCAAAGAAATATTCGTTGTCGGTGAGCGAGTAATCATCACAGAGCTCCATAATGGCTTCATGCGTATTGCACTCGCGCAGTCGACCGAGTCGCGTGTGGGGTAAGCGCTCCAATGTACGCCATAAAACCTAGAAGCCCGATTAAAGTGTGCCGAAGAATTGCACCAAAATTGTATAGGGGAAACTTTTAGTTTTGATTTTTAATCGTGAAGCGTTTGCAGTTAAAGAGAAGTATCGAAGCGACAGAACAAACCGCGCACGTATTTAACTTCTGCTTCTAGATTACAGATGCTCCTCCATCATTGTCTGCGTTTGATAAAAAATGGCTAGCGTAACTTTTCGAACAACATGGATAAGTTCGATTTATTTGACGGAAGTTACAACTCGCGTTTCCTTCCCCAATATAACAACTAACTGAATTTCTAGTCTGAGCTTACTGCCATTGTAAGGCAGCCAGTACACAGACTAAAATACTTGTGTGACAGTGCCGAAGTCCACTTATGTAATTAGCACTTTTCAACAAATGCAATAGAAAAACGCTTGATTTCGGCTTTGCGCACGCGTTCCATTGACGGATTCGAAAGGAACTACTAGACACCTGTCGACATGATCCGCCCAGGCTACAATAGGTAAAAACCCGAACGCTTACGTACCATCCCGCCTGATACTAACACACTGGAAAACGTGGCCACATGCAGAAACAAAAATAGGATGATGGATAGACCCATTTTATCCTAAAGCTATTCAGTTATAGATATAATTGCACGAAGAGCTGGCAAAAGTGACGAAATTCAAGTCAGTTGTCAGAATAGAATGGATATGGGCGTTGTGACCGGCCATATATTCCGATAGGTCTAGTTAGATAGCGGTAGGGATTGTTCATATTTACATGTGCAATTGTCAGCGTAGAAGATTGTTAGGCCGTTTGTCAACCCTTTCAGCCGCTGCGCAAATGTAAGCACAAGTTATATTTGTCTGTCAAGGATACGCCTACTCGAACGAACAAAAGGATTGTTACACTCTAAAAGTTTTTCCTAAAAAGGCTCAATCAATATCTCGATACATTTAGAGATACAATTTACCAGGTACGAGATAGAAAACTTGGTGCAGAGAGCTTTAGGCTTCATTGAGGTTAAGAAATATTGGTGTACACATCATCGAAGACGCTGATATTGGAATATCTCGCGAATTTGCGGTTGTCACACGACTGTTGCTTATGGGGCCTTCTATTAGGTGGCATATTCACTGTTACTATGCTTCGGAGATCCATTGTTCATTTATTGACTTACACCGAATAACTACGTTAGAACATGTTTATCATCGACTCAGAAACTTTGTCGCCTCATCGATGACCGTGAAGCCAATCTTGTCAAGAAACACGTTATGAGCCTTCTCTCCCTTAGTTAGCCCGCACAGCTCGTGCCTAACAGAAACACGCAGTTTGGATAATATTCGCATAGTTGCTGGTACGGAGAAATGTTACTTGCCATTTCTGATATTTTACTTACCTCATGTTTGACGCCTCCGACGTTAATCACCACCCGTTTATTAAGCGCTTTGGATCGCATGATCATGAATGGCTCTGGTGGTAAAGCAGTCAACGATCTTGAAAAGTTTCGATGTGCGATGCCCAGCGGGGGCGTCACGCCGTGCGCTACTGCACCTCCACCTCCGCCCATGCCGCCTCCAGTCACAGGCACGATAGTGCGCACCGTGTGAGTGACGGCTGGGGACTGAGCGAGAAGGACGCCCCCCTGCCCCGAACCGGATGTGGCTCCTCCTGGCGGCAATGACATTTCGCCACAACCAACGTTATCGCGTTTACACAACTAACTCGGCTCGCCTGACTTTCTTCTAACAACAACAGCGGGGAAAAAACAACACCCTGAAGCGAGATTTACCTCCAGTGGTTCGTTTTATCGACGTTGGTGGACGCAATCACGAATCGAAAAATTGTACTAATCCGCATTACGTCGCACTATTTGTCAGTGCCTCTGAGTCTCTACAAGGATAGTGCTTGCTATCCCCGTGATAGACGGTGAATGTTTAGAAATATTGCTGATTCACAATATGGACTGCGGCGGCCTTGTTGGTTCACGCTAAAGGCTTCACGACGCTTTTTCAAACAGCGTAGATGTGGTAGACGATGCCGGTGTCGGCAATTACCCAACTTCCGTTGTTTTACCGTGGCCTTGTTTTAATCGATTGCTGTCGGTCGTGGCCGTCTACTCGTCGACACTTCCGCCTTGCTAGCGTAACGTAAACACTAGTCTGATTCGTAGTTAAGTTGGTGCAGCTGTTGGCGCAGAAAGAGAACAAATGGCGGCTGCAGGGGAGGGGGGCTCCAGCTGTCGGAGATCCACAATGGCCACTCGGCCGAAGATCGGGTCACGGCGCGATCGAGAGTCTGACTGGAAAAGCTGAACCTGGCTTGTATCACCGGCAGTCGCCGTCCGGAATGGCTGAATAGCTTTTTTGTCGTTGACGATTTGCCGCTTTGCGATTTATCAGCTGTTTTGTTTTTAGCAGCGCAGCAACTAGCGGTCTATATAATGTCTGGGACGATTGACTCTGTGCGACACAGGGGCGAGGATGACGCGGCGTTCGGATCTGTTTTTGTAAGTTGCTATTTTCCTCGATATTTTCCCCCTTTACGAACGGTGACCGGGAACGAAATGTTTGTCGACTTCTCGTAGAAAGATGTCCTGCGACCTATCTTCCCCGTTCGATCCTTTTCCTTCTTTTGCGTTTTTATGCTTTTTGGTTCTTCCTTTTACACTTTGTTTTCTGTTCTATTCTACTGTATCATAGTTGAACTCTTCGGTTTATCGTCTCGCTCGCTACGAAACTTTCTCGACCCCTCAAGCCTTCACTCCGTTATGTAATTTTCCTCTACTGATAGATTATCCGATCACTGCCTTTCTACTACGCCGGCGTATAGGATATATATAGGAGTTACTCGAATTGTTTTCGATACGAAATCGATCTTTCAGCTTACGGGTTTATGATAGTCGCGCGACGTATTACCACCTACCTTTATCGCGCCTATAACTGACGTTGGCGTCGTCTCTGTTACGGTTAAGAGTGTTAACAATATGGTAGTTCCATGCAGGGTATGATGCGTTGTTGCTTTTGGCCTTATTGTTATTATTAGTGTTCTTCGTGTTGATCTATTTTTGATGGGAGGCCATAGATCGCCGTTTTCTGATCTTAAGCCAACTAAAACCTTTATGGATGACTAGTTTCGAAGCTCTCTTATCGCTTAGCAATAGCTGCAGCCGTGACGATCGCTCCCCTGTTAGAAGAAAGACGATAATAATAATTAGTATTATTATTATCACTGGGGTTTACTGTAACCAGATTGCATACTCCCTGCTTACGTTCCTCCGGTGCTATCGTCTTGATCGGAACGAACGTCGTTCAATAGTCGTGCGCACACCCTCGGTAGTTGACGTCCCCAGGTGGCACGCTACTCAGATAGTATATTACTGAATACACTTCACAGTGGTGTTTCTATTACTGATTTCTCTTTCTCAGCGTTTTTTTTTTTTATTCATAGTTGATATTGGATCTCTATGTAGTGTTTCACTCCGGTCGTTGCGTTCGTCGTCGCTTGAAACACTGAAGCAACAGGAGTTCAACGGGGGCGCTGTCTAACCACAACCTTTTCGAAGCACGGGTGTTCTCTCCCTGTAGTTCCACGTATGTATTTCTCTTTGTCCGCTTGTCTGTTTGTACCTATCTATTCTTTTTCTGATTTCTGATGCGTGTCTAATTCTTTCTAGTAGAAAAAGCGACCTATTGTTTACGCTGGGATGTTTATCGATATTTGTTTTCTTTGTACAAGAATGCTGCTGCAACAGGTATGGTATATCTTCCTTTTTGTCGTTTGCCGTTGTCCTCTTAACAAAGCTTGGTCACTTATCCGTATTTCGAAAAGTAGATGTTTTCAAGAGCTCATACATAAGGTCGCTTCGTCAGCATCCTCGAGCCTAAACCATAACACAGTGTATATATATATATATATATGTCTACTTTTTTTTGTCTCGTTTCCTACATAAACCTGTATTAGCTTTGTTCCTTGATTCTGTCCTGCCTCCGTCCAATGGCCCCGTTTCCGTCCGCACCAGCGTCTATTTATGGTTTTCTTGCCTTTCCTTCGATTAATATATTTATCTATTTGAATCCCGCTGGATTTCTGCACAACAGCTGGAGTTGTCTGGGAGCTTTCCCAGAGACTCTTCAACGACGTAAAAAATGTTTTAACGGCCAGTGCAGTTCTATAAAACACACTTCTTTAGCCTTCTGTTAATCGCTTGTCATGTCGGCTATTATATGGCTTCCGCTTATCTGTATTCCTGAATCCCTATAACACAGCGCTCGACATCCAGGCATGCAGTATTCTATTTCAGAAACCTGTCCTGCAGCTGGATAGGTCCGCACGGTGTTTTAAGCCTTCGCCTTCTTCTTCGCGACTTTGGCCTGTCTCTCGGGCTAGCTTTCTGCTGCTGTGACGGCTGTCGCGTCGTCGGCTGGTGCGTCGGTTGTTGCTGTCGTCGTCGTTGTTTTCTGTTCCGTGGTGCGACGCGAGGCGGCCACACTCTCCTGGGCCGCTCGGCCGCGCCGCTTTCGTTTCTGAATTGACTTCGATCTTCCGCTATCCTGAAATCAGGCACCATAAATATCACACGGAATTATTGAGACTCGAGATCACGATAGTTCGGACCTGTAGTGTTCTTTTACACTTTTGTTTTCTGTTCTATTCTATTTTATCATAGTTGAGCTTTTCGGTTTATCGTTTCGCCCACCGCGTGACGTTCTCGACCCTTCAACTACGTAGTGTTCAATAAACAAAAAGCTGAGAGTTAGAGGATAGTCAGTCTCCAATTCGTTGCTATCGCTTATACTTTTTAACTGAAACATAACATTTCAGGCACAGGTAACAAACAATATAGTACTGCGAATTCGTGAAACAGCGTTCTCCTTCTAGTGTAGCAGTCTAGTAGAGCACGGGCCTTGATTTGGAACTCGTAAAATACCTAGGCAATTTCATGCGAACATTCAGATAATAGAAAAACTAACTGATTTTGATAAGGCTAGGGGGCGAATCTTTAACCTATGCCGATGGAAGGCTTTAATAGAAGGCCGACAGGCCAACATTTTCACATAGATCTACAGTACTTACTGATCAAGTCAATAAATAGAGATAAAAAAAAAAATTACTTACACTTAGATTCTAACCTGGGTTAGAAATAAGTTCACAGTAAGATAGAACAAATGCCTCTTTGATATTTCAAAAGTCTTTTGGAAGTACATAACAATAAACAGCAAATGAAGCAAAACGCAATAAAAATTAGAACACAAAAAAACCTTTGCCAAGATGTATACAGCATATTTTAGAGGATATTTTAGCGAATAAATTCATGGTAAAAAAATACGTTTTCTATTTCTTACTTGAATAGTAGATATATTCTGGTTTCAGCAAAGAGAGGATTCTTCACGGTGGCGGCGGTAGCCGATCTTTGAACCGAAGTTTGAGCCACTTCAGCCTCGGCATCTCAGTCGTGAGGCCGCTGGATTATCATCATAGCCACCGCTCCGCCGCTGTAGCGTCGCGGAGATGACGCAACGCTCGTCTAATTAACTGAAACCGAAAAACAAGCAAGCACAATAACGAAAAACTACGACATTTCATAATTTTCTCTTACAGGACCGTCTTCTACGTGATAAAAATACGTTGCTACCTGTTTTAAACGGTACTTGACATAGTACAGAGAAACGTGTCGCAAAGTACTGCGGTCCTCGAATGATATACGTAAACATGGTGGTACAACAAAAAAACATCGTCACAACTGCTTTGGAATAGAATTGTACGGATTCGACGGGTCAGTAATCCAATTACGTTTCGTATCTTGAATGGAGACGTTGCTTTGTCTCCATTCAAGCGTAACGAAATTAACAGTTAGCAAGGAATCGTCGATTAAAATACGATAGTCACACCCTAATGGCAGTAGACGATACACGTTTTCAAACAAATTTCACTATACGGGGCAAGGCAAAGGACGTTCTCTTGTTTTTACTAGATAGAGATCACCCTTCACCGACAAAAAGAAAAATGCGGCGAGAAATCTCGTGCCCCACATGTTATAATATTCACAAAGATTCTGCTTCGTGCATCTATATTGGCCTACTATTTTTTTTCTAGTATTACTATCTAGGACCATTTACCTACCGCTTATTGCAGCTATTTACGATCGCCAAACAATAAATACAATTTCATCGAAGTTCGAATTGGGTAAGCGGTTTGCAACAGCCGTGAAGATCAGGCCTTCACTCCGTGAAGACAAAGTCCGACTATGTCTATGATGTGGTCATTATCATCAACCGTATATGAGTTCGTACTATATGAGAAAAATAATAGATGATGAGTATTGTAAGATGGACGTTTTAAACAGCGGACCTTTCGCATAACACTACGGACAGCGAGCTATTGACATATTTTCCTACTGTTTGTTGGGATAGTGTTGGGGATTTCCCCGACTTTTTTGTATCCTGCTTACAGCTTGTTTATGGGTCAATGTTTGCCGAATTACCGAACAGCAAAAAGATACGAGGTATCTTTTTTGTTCCGTTATTTCTACTGAGAGGCACTTAGAAGCATCAGCAAGTCCGTGATGAAGTTCCGCCTACCCAGTGAATGAATGAACCTATGGCCAATTTCCATGCGCATATCGATGACGGCGTGAAAGGGGTATACGACCTAATGCATTGATACGTGGCCATTGCCACACGATAGGGGGGTTAAAGCCCGCTAACGCTTGCTGAACGCCGTCTACAAAAGCGAAACCTATAATTTATGTTTTAGTCCAGCTTAGGAAGAGAGTACAAGTCTTCGTAAAAAATGCACATCCAATGTGCCAAATCGTGTTACTAGCCTCGCTTTTGGTATCATCAATTTGACTACACACTTATTCAATCAAGAGCGCGCCTAGAAATACCCTCGACTAGTATAACGAAACGACTGAATGAGGTAAGCGTACGTTTCGCGAAGCCATTCTACGCGTTTGCTTAAGTGGATTTTCGGCAGGGAAAGCTATGCGTGGAGAAACAGCAATTGCGGATCCTTAGTTTTAGTTAGGATCGGCATCCTTAACTCGAGGGTAGTAGTAATAGTTCTGAGCTTCTGGCGATTTCTCCCCGACGTGACTTTAATAGCACCGGCGGCGCCTTATCAGCGTTTCATTCAGTCGACCTTGTAATAATGATGTTATGTTTTTTCTATCCACCAATATGTCCTCAAAAAACTTTGTGGCCTTGCGCACGAAATATGCACAGTTGTTCCTAAGCGGCCATATTACGTAACAGATCTACATCTCAGAACCCACGTGATCTCTTCGTTTTTGTAACTTCTCCCCTTAATGGGTATCCTGTCAAAATGAAGTTCATATTTGTATCACGCAACCTGACCGCACAAAATCCTTCTTTTCAGCCTTTAAAGGCCCGCATCGACGTCTATTTCGCGAAACATCTTGTGACCAAAATTAATGAGTATGGTTTGTTTTTCCTCCACTAACAATCGCGAAGACTCTTCACGCTTGAGCGGTGCTCAAAACCTCGCTGAACCAAACTACTCTATTCACCGTGTCCCAGACTAAACGTCTGCCTAAAACCTTCCAACAGAAATAGAACGATTTCAAGTATCGACATGACGCATTGCGATGCATCTTGCACGAGGTTCGCCTTCTCTTCAACGTCAGAGAGATATTCAACACAGCTATCTTCATGCTGCAGCTCGGTCGGTCGTATTGGCACCCCCACAGTGAGCTCCGTGTTAGCCATCTATACATGGCACCGAACAGCTGCTTACGCCTCAAAACTCGCGCGCCTAAGCCCTTCATTTTTAAAAATGATGCCACGATTCCTCACGGGTATTCCATACCCATCTAAAATACGTAGCTCTAAAGCTGCCGTTATGGACGCATTGAGTTTCGTGTCAGTGACGACCAATCAACGAGCACATGTTTATTTTAGATAAGCTTCAGAGCAATAGACGATAAATTATGGCTGTCCCGTGTATCAAATACCCGCCAAACGCATAGTCGTTTCATTAGGATAAGCTGATATATCAGCTAAATAGAGATTTCCAACTTGGCGTTCAGTGCTACCGTCCTAGATAAGCATTGACGTTGATTCTGATTTTCACTGCACTAACGTTGATGACTGATTGATCTGACTAACAGACTTTTCCAGAGCGCAAGGAAGGGTACCTACGCTAGATTTCAAATCTAGGCCAGTTCAACTCGTGTTGCTAAGTCTTCACCTCATGGAGCTCCTAAGAGACAATCTATGCATAGCTACGTGTCTCAGTGCTCTTTTCACATCGCGCAGCCGTGACGCCGATCTATAGCAAGCGCCTGCGTAGTTCTATTGAACAAGTCGTTTCGTGGTTAACTCGTCAAGATACTGGCATCACCATTCACATATGTGTGTCACAATGAAAAAGACAGCGTGGCAATTTTTTTGTATTTCATTCTCTAGTAGTTTGGTTGATTTTTAAAAAATTAGGCCGAAGGCCAGTGCTACGTATGGCAAGAAGGTCAATCAACCGATTCATTCAACACATGTCGTATAGCTGGTGTAAATAATAAATTCCTATAGGGTGATGATATCTACATTCAGACCTAATCGGGACCTACGTGGCTGTGTAAGTCGCATGTAACCTCACTTGTTTATTGTTTGGAACGTCGAAAAGTTTACCCTTACAGACACATTCATAGGTAGCAAACAAAGCTGTACTCGAGAACCTAATGCGAGCGAATGCATGCATGCATGCATGACTGTCAATGAAGCGATTAACAAACAAGTCTTCATCGAAATCGTACGCTAACTACTCAACTTATGTCCACCTCAAGTTAGGTAAACATTATGTGCGCCACTGAGATTTTCGCTGATTTTTCGGGGCTTCTTGAAAGGTACCCAAATACCTATGACCTATAGATAAATAAGATAAGGTAAATAAGCACCTTACTTCAATTGAGTCACTGGCTCGGCGAATGAACACATGTGAAATGTACACATGAAACACGCCTCAGAGTGGCCTCAGAGTAACGTATTCATCGCCTCAGATATTTATACATATCATTATACAGCAGACGAATTTGTCTTCGGTCGCGAACTAACCTTGTAAAGAACGCCGATAACGATACGGCAGCCTCCTCCTTATAGTAAAGGATTAAGCCTGCCCACATAGTTTATGGGGTCGAGTTCCATTGTCCCATGGTCTAATATCCATTATTCTACAGGTGTTTTACGGGTAATCGGCAACAAAAGAAAATGCCCACTACGATATGGCGTATGCTTCGTGTTGATGCAATGGGCAAAGCTATACGAACGCCACACACACATGGTTCCCATTTAGCTGGCCGGGCCAGGACTCGATTGCACCCACTTCGTTATCTTACTGATCGATCTACCTATGATGGCGATTTCACGTGCGAGCACATAACAACGGTCGTTTGAGTCTCTAAAGGGCTGTTAGCTGCATTGCCGAGCTACAGCTTCGAGGTACGCATATGCACTGTCCTAAGGGCTTGTGAGAATCTTTTGGTGAAAGTTTTGGGCACTGCCCAAGTTGGGTGTTTGATTCGATTTTTTTTTCGTTGGCTTTTGCTGCCTTCGTTGGATCCCACCAGACAGTTGTTGACACTGCATCCTAAAGCCTGATGTAATTTGACTTAACCGATAATCTCCCGCTAACATTATCTAACGTGAGTTTCAAAGGAATATGTAGGCAAGCACTTAAGGATATTATTGGAAATTTGTGTACCCCATGAAACGTGGGGGTCGTTAGCGAAGAACCTGCCCGTTGTTTTTAAGTATGAGTACGTCCAGTTTTATCGACGTTCGTAACGGAAACCTGCCAATATACTTTTCACTAAGTGATAAAAGTAAGGCATAAGTGATTAAAGTAACTGAAATAAAAATCTACAAATAAATTATAACAACTTGATTTCTCAGAAATTATACGTTTTTGCGCTTTTTATGATGGCACCCTAACGCAATCACAGTATACGACCATCCTCAGAACAGATATTTATCAACGAACCATCAGTGTTGCGTACTTCGTATTGAAGGATAGTCACATAAAACCTGTCACACTGATTATGGCTGCGCATGCTGGACCAGAGCCAGTTAGTAGAAGAACATGCTTTCTGCATACATGCATGTATGTGTGAAAAAGGTATGAATCGTTCGTAAAATCAAAGTATTTTTTATTTTTATGTTAAAATAACATTTCTAGATCCGTCGGATGTGCGCCATGCTGATCGATGACCATTATACCGTCAGCAATATTACTATGCGATCGTTTACTTTATTCTCAGTCTGAATAAAAACATAATTCTAATAGCAAGTGTAATACGGCGAGATTTCAGCAAGTGGCACGTTGATCCGATACGACTGACTACATAACCTACGATATGTGATTGTAAAGCTAACTAACCAATCCATGTTTATCCGACAAATCGATATATATGCTGCAGGGCAAGAAGTGATCTCGGTAAATCCACGCTACACCGTATTTATCGAACTATATAGAATTGTTAAGGCCAGTGATAGTATGAGCCGTTATGTTAGCATAGAAAA